GAAGAAGAAGTTAAGTTGCCAATTTATTTATTCTTTATATTATCAAATTTAAATTTTAATAAATTATCAAAAATTTATTACCACGAAATGCTTTGTTTTGTTGTAAGAACAAAAATCAATTAAAAAAAAAAAAAAAAAGGAAGAGAGAAGAAAAGTTCAAGAGAAATACTTTTATTAATGGTACGAGAATTCGTTATGCTCATCAAATCAATGATGATTTATTTTGAGTAAGAAAAAAAAAAAACTGCGCATTAATTATAATCGTAGATGGAAAATTGAAATTAACCGGGCCCGGAATGACTAGACCACTTTTTTTTTCTTTTTTTTTTTTCTTTTGTCATCAAAAAGAAGACAGGAAATTGCTCATTTCTCAACTATCTTAAATAGAGATATTATTTCATTTCGTTACCTCTCCTTTTGGGTTTTTTTTTTTTTTTTTTATATCAATTGAAGGGAAATTGAAAAAGTCTTGTTTTCAGTTTTCCCCAACAAATTACATTCTTTTATTTTGGTTGGTAAGGTAAAAATCAAAAGATAAAAAAACCTCACAAAGCAAAGTTCATAAAGTAACTATACTATATGCAAATAATTTTTGAGATAATAGAACATAATTGATTAACTGATATGGTACTTGGGAGGTGTAAAAAAAAAAAATAAAATAAAATAAAATTGACGCTGAGAGCCTAATATTTAATCATCAGTTTATTATTGGTAAAAAATAAAAATATCTGAATAATAGATGAAAGAGGTGACTGTCTCTTCTGGATTATTAATTTCTACTTAAGAATCCTTTTACGATTAACTTCAAAAATACATCATCGACAAATTCTTGTGACATACATAAAGGATGTGTGACACTTATTATTGAATGATAGCATGGTTATTTAATTTATGATGGTAAAAATAATACACGAATTGTAACAATTCATGGCGATAAAAATGATGAAGAAGTAAACAATAAGTTTTCATCCTCATATCATTGATATCATTTATTAACTCTGTTAACTTTCCAAATTTGATTGAAATAAATGAGATAGGCAGAAGTTTTGTTATTTCATAAGATTTAAAGAGTTAAAGTTTTGAATATTTTTACATTCATGCATACAAGAAATGTAACAGGTTAAAGGTTAAACTTATAGGATTTGAATTTATCCAAAAAGTATTTTAAATCTTAATTAAAATATGATTGTTATCATAATTAATTTTATCAATTATGCTATGTCAAAGATGATAAGCTCTAGACATCTGGATACTTTTTTTTTTTTTTTTGGTTTCTTCTATTACAATAATGAGTGAGACAATTATTAATTAAACCATCTGTAGGAGAAAAGGAAGTGTTATAAATCATATTAAGCAAAGCGCTCAGTTATGTGTATGTATGTATGTATACGTGTATGTGTACGTGTACGTGTATGTATGTGTGTATGTGTGTATGTGTGTGTATGTGTGTATGTATGTATATGTATGTGACACTAATGATATATCATTTCATTTTATCAACGGCATTTCATTGCCTTTTCTAATTTAATTCTCGTTTTATCAATTTCGCAAATAGTTCATCGTGTGGGTATTATGACAATTCCTATGGAAAACTGTTGATAGCAATGGCATAAATCAGACTAAAATTATTCCGCAAATGAAAATTAAACCGATAATATGCTGGAATTATATTACAATAAAACTTGCATTTCTTTAAATAATTTTGTGAAATTTCATCAAAAAATTACAAAAATCTTAGTATTATAATAAAAAAAAAAAAGTTAATCCTAAAAAGCGAAAATATTTCAATATTTCATTGCAAATATGTAAATAAAAAAAAAAATGATGAAAATTTTACCACTATTTCCTACCATATACTTCATATCTTCAATACTATTCCACTTCATCATTATGTCAATTTAGCTAAATTCATCATCATCACTTCATTTAGTAATGTTCCTCTTACGATCTTTGACCTTAATAGACGTAATTTTATGAGTTGAAATAAATGACACAGACAATGATTATTGCTGCACACATTCTCGTTAACTATTACTTCTTCTTGATAGACTAAAATGACAAGATTAATTGCTCAATGATCGTTAAGAATATAACAATAATTTTAGACTCAATATATAAAGCTTATTCACACTTCAAAATAGAATTGTATTTAATGGTTATTTAAACAACTATTATCAGCCTAGAATGTTAGGTTAAGCTTTATATTAGCAGTACTAATTAATTACTTTAGCTATTTACCTTGATATGGGAAAGTTTTGGTGGAAAATTAATTGGAGGATGATTAATCCAGAAATAGGCAATATTTGTAAGAAATATTTATGAAATTATTCTTACAGGCATTGTGTTACGATTTCATCGATCATTCATTTTACATTTAACACTTTATGCTCAAAATAACAAATTAAGATAGCTCATCCTTAAATTTGGAAACTTTTTTAATAATTTGGGAGACATTTCCAATATATATATGTTTAACGTATTTCTATTAATTTTATGAGGAATTATAGCTAAAGTACCAATGATAAATTTGCATATTTTGATTGAGCATGATGAAGTATTTTGATGTTTTGATAAATGATAGTATCAAATTGATGAAATGAATTGATGGAATTATATGTTCCAAACCATAGGTATGCAATTTTGAAAGTCTTCTAAATTTTTAGAAAATTTAATGCTGCAAAATGTGATTTCAAATTGGTATTTTCCTCACAAATTTATTATCACTAAATGATTCTCAAATTTCATCAAAGTGATCAAAGTTCAAACCCAAATTTCATCAAAGTGATCGAAGTTCAAATCATTATTTTTGCTTTCATTTATGTGAAATAGCTATGTTTTGCATTGGAAACAAATTTATTAACTTATATAATACTTGCGAATATATTTGCAAGCGAAGGAAAGGACTGATAAAAGTTAAACTATTTCATGAATATGTATATTTGAGGACTTATTATGACAGTTGAAATATGATTATGATTAATAATTTTGAGCGTTTAATCGGTCATCTTGTATGATTTATTCTTGGTCATGGAATATATCATGTTGTTTCTAATTACTTCTAGAGGCATCTATCATCACTTAAAAAAAAAAAATTCTATCAAAATTAAAATTATTCATCAGGATAAAACGGAAAAGAAATTGAATTCAAAATTCAATATTTGGCGAAAACAAATAACTTAGTGAAAGTAAATAAATGTAAATTAAGGGATAAATATGAAGATAAATAAATGAAAAATATTTCAGTTAATGTTGCATGGCAATGATTTACATATGGCAATTGATGTTGTCAACGATCAACAATTAACACCAATGCTGTCCAATCATTATTATGTGGATAACATGTTAAATTATGCTCCTAACAATGATAATATTAACAGTGACAATACAGTTGATGTTGATAATGATAACAGTGGTGTCAATGATTTGAATGATATGCAGAAGCATTATAGAACAACACGTATTATCAGAAGAAGGAAACGTTTTGGTAATTTGTATAAATCATTTTAAAATTTCTCATCTCATTCTCCCATACACCACCTGAATATCTCATTCCTGTTTGAGGAAACAATAATGATTTAGAAAAGATCGCGATATGACGGGGCGACGTTTTGCAAATTTCACTGCTAACTGAACAACGATAGAGCTATTAAAATAATAATTGTCGAATTAAATTAACAACTGATATTGTAAATATTATTTATAAGCATGATACTGATTAATTGTCGTTGGTAGTTTGGATGATTTCACTTTCATAGAAATGTGACTTACAAGGATATCTTTACAAAGTTGCAATTTTTTTGAAATAATTTATGTGAAAGCGAAGAAATTATAAATTCTTTATCTTTTCCTCTTATTAATTTTATCAAATTTTTGAAAAAAAAATAATGAAAATTTCAAATATTTATTTAATAACCAATGAACTCTTTTTTTGGAATTTAATTTTAGCTACAGCTCAAACATCACGATGGGATAAGATGACATCGGATAATGTACTCAAACTGAAATGGTTCATCAGTAGGTATACACGTGATATACCACGTTCTGAAATCAGGTATTTCATTTTACAAACCATATTTTACGAGTCATTGTAAAAATCTTTTGTTTAAAAATGAATTATTGATTTGTTTTTTTTCGTTCAAATAAAAGATGTCAACAGAGTTGCTAAAATGACCTGTTTAGGTCATCATTGTTTAATTTTTTAGTCTTTTTTTTTCTATTTATATTTTTCAAATGAATAACAATTTAAGCCTGCAAAGACCCTGACACAATTTATTAGTCAGTTCCCAAAAAAAAAAAAA